CATGCGCGCATAATATCGAACGGCATATGCAGCAGAGACAGAGAGTAGAACAAGACTAATCCCGCTAATGCCTCGTCGATGTAGTGGTAGGTAACGGGACCTAATCGCTGATACGCCCTTTCATCCTCGCGGTCGGCGAGCGAGCGAAGCGAGGCGAGCGCGAGATTCGACTTTCGACGTAGCTAGAATCTTGTCTCGCTTCCGTTCGTTTCCTTATCGGAGCGCGCGTTCAATCGTGGATCTGTCCTCCTCCCTCTCTCTCTCGCTCTTCTCCGCGCTCGCAGCGTGCACACACACACACACACGCGCGCGCGCGCGAAAGAGACGCGTATGACGTGAGCGCGCACGACGCGCGCTTCCTCGTTCCTCGCGCGGCGATAGCGTGCATGCGGCCCCGGAGATGCCCGATCCTCCTTCGCCGCGCATTTACAGAGCGGAGAATTCCGGGAGCGGAACGGCGCCGCGCCGCGCCGCTCCGCTCTTCACGCCGGCGGTCCCGGGCAGGAAATAATAGCCGAGTGATAGAGTCGAGCGCAGGGAATTTTTATGGCTAAATCGATGTTGCACGCGCGCGGGTCGCGGCTCGCGGGCGACCGAGCGGGACGGCGAGGCGGCGGCGGTGGCGGCGGCGGCGTCGCGGGAGGGAGACGGAGAGAGAGAGAGAGACAGAGACACGGAGAAAAAGAGGACTTCTCCGCCGCTCTAGTGGCGCGAGAGGGAAGGAAGCGGGAGGGGGAGGGGACGAGTGAGCGGGACGGCGTGACAGCGAGGAGCGAAGGGCGCTAGAAATCTGGGGCGGGGATAGATCCGGGCTTTGCGCTCTGCACGCGACCTTGAATGCCGGCCAGCCTAGACCTTGCCTCCGCTCCGCTCCTTCGCTCGCTTCGCCTAGTCCGGAGAGGCCGCGCGACTGTTGTTTCGAGCAACGGAGCGGCGACGGCGGCTGGAGACGGGCTCGCTCGGCTCGCTCGCTCGCTCCCGCGCTCTCGACTCCGTCTCGCTCTTCCGCGTCGATTACGTAAAGAGATCGCGGCGCTCAAAGGACACGACGCGGTCGGATCTGCGTTCCTCCGCTACTCGCCGGCTCGCGGCGACCATCGGAGCGGAGAGCTTTACGTAACGAGGCTCGAATGGACGAATACGCGTCCTCTTCCCGAGCGCAAACGGAGCGCGATTCTCCGTTTCGTAGAAACGCGCCTGACAAATGACTCCGACAGCGATCGCTCCGCGGCGAGAGACAAAATCCGTACGTCTCCCGCCCGGAGGACAGATCCTACCCGGAGGAAATTGATTCGCTAACGGTGGCGAATTCGTCGTTTCAACCAAAGTTCAATTTAAAAGTTTCCTCGGCGGGGAAGCGCCTCGGGTGCGACGAAGGCGCGCGGAAACGGGCCCGATCGATCAACAGCGGCGGACAGGCACAGACGGCCAGGCGGCAGGCGGGAATCGACGCGTTCCCGGCCGCCACCGCCGCCACCGTCGCCGCCGCCGACGGTTATTAATGACGCGAGAATTCGCGCGTCACGCGCGCTGTTTTCAGGGTGCAGGTCGCGGGGGCCCCGCGATAATAACTTGGATCGACGCGCGGCGCGGCGCGGCGCGGCGAAAGCGCAGCGTTGCGTGGCGGCGTCAGCCGAGGCCGGGAAGGACGAGCGCAGCCTGACGACGCGCGGAAGATGGCGAGGAATCCCGGCGCGGTTTCGCGCGCGCGCGCGCGATCGCCGAGCTGGGTGGGATCATAACGGACCGGCGACCGGGCCGAGCCGCGCCTAGACCTAGGCGGATACGACGTAGCCCGTCGCTCGCATTATTATACCCTACTCTAACCTTTATATTCCGCCTTTTTTGCGTTTTCGGCAAAGAGAGCCGCGCCGATCGGATCGCAGCGTCATCTGCCATCGCGAATCCGAGCCGCCCGGGTACCGCGATCGTACAGCCGGCTCGCGCGAGCCGCGCAAATCGCTCGCCAGGCAGCAGCACTGATAGCAGATACGCCTCGCCTCGCGCTGCCTTCGCTCGCCGGATCGTCGCTTTGGCGCGAATCCCGTCGCCGATTGAATTCGCGGTTCTTCCGCGCGCAGGCGGGGCGCGGCCGACGATCGACAATTCGCCGCGATTACGGTGAATACCTACTGCGCTTCCGATGTGCCGTGGGGAAATTGAAAAATATACTTATACGACTTTCGTTCGACAATAACTTATTGTTAGACCCGTGATGCAGGGGTACCAGGTGTAACATTTCCGTGGATGCGCACTCGCGACCAATCAGAAATTTGCCCCAAAAATTGCTTGCAGGCGCAATTTCAAATCCTCGTATTTTTACGTGGTTAGACCAAGGATTTCCAAATAGCACGGGTGGTCGTTGATAAACGCAAAGGGAATTTCCTTTTTTTCAATTCTTTATGAATTAGACAGGGAAAACTGTTTAAAAAGTCGACCAGACTGGCAAAGAATTATCTTTATTTAAGTCACAACAACGTTTTGACCTCTTTCTCGGGTCCTTTTCGAGTACAATCTGGAAACAAATTTCAGATGCTCAAATCGAAATATAAAGTTTTAGCTAGTCTGGACTTTTTAAAAAATTTTCCCCATGTTTAATCAGCACTGGCGACAATAAGTTTCACTCACAAGTAAACCTACTCAAGTGGGGACACACCGATTTTTATGAGCATTGAATATGTTGTTTTTCAGCTCAAAATAAAGGACACGTATTTTTGTATACGTGCCCATGCGCAGTTTTAAGTAGTGTCCCTTTGAAGAAATTTTGACTTTCTCTTTCGGGGCGAATATTGACGAAAATGTCAGAGTTAGAAAAAAGTTTTTAAATAAAAGTTGAATGGTTTCAATAGTACTTTAAAACTATGAGAAAAAAATTTTTTAAAACTTTTTAAAAATACCCCACCACTCAACATTTTTTATTACAATTTTGAGCTTTATTATATACGGTTGAATTCGTAATAAAATAAGTTGTAATTTGGTGCTCAAACATTGTCAAAATTGTAATAAAAAATGTTGAGCGGTGGGTTTACTTGTCAGGTTTGTTTATGAATTAGCGTAATCCATTCCGAGTAGACTCGAGAGAATTTCTTTCCGACGATTCAAAAAGGGTTCCATGAAAATGCGTCTTTAGATTTCTCGTGAAATTAAATGAAACCAAGGGATTTCGTCTTCTACCCGAAAAAAAATAGAATCGGTGACATGAAAGCGAACTCTTTTTCAACCCTTGCGGGTGTTACCGGAACAGACAGGAAGCGATTAATTTCATAATTCGGGGGTTCAAAAAGAATTTCTCTCGAGCTCTCTGTGCTGTCTGGATTCGAAGTCGCGCCAGCTATCCCGGTACTCCTCTTTTTCTCTCCGAAGAATGCTTGCGTCGCATATTTTCCTCGCACCGAGTATCTGCCACGCACATCCTACGCCTGACACGTTCGCGTCCATCGATAAATACAACCAATCGCAGCCGAGGTACAATACCGAATTGTTTACGAACGTCCGACGCGATTGGTTCAATTATCACTTAACTTTCGCCGCCTGTACTTTCTTGTGTTTCGCAGCCTGTGGCGACGGAGCGGTCTTCCGATTTCTCGGGGGCTCGGGGGCTCGGGCGTTTTCAATCCAGGTAATTCCAAGTTTCCGCGAGATCCTCGCGGCACTCAACGCGTTAGAATCGGTAAATGTATCGCTGTTTCCGCCGGTCGATCGACAATATCGAGTCAAGCTCCGCTGTCTCGCGAAATTGGCGAAATGACGCCGCGGCGCCGGCCGGAGCGACGAACGGCAGAGATCGATTTAACGATCTCGCTGCCGAGTTTTCGTATCCCGCGGGAGAGACTCACGCGTCGAGCTCAATCGTGGCAGCCGCAAAAGATCGGCGGGCTAAGGCTGATTGGCAGAGAACAATCCGTAAACGCTTAAGCCTCCACAATGATTCTCGGTTCTGCCTACAATGGTCGTACATACAGTTGTATCGATGGTCGCTTGAGCAGTCGCAAAGCAGTCGTAGTCGTAGTCGCTCGAATAGGTTCAATTCCTATTCCAACGACCACGACTGCGATTTATTGCCGCGACGGACCATTCAGAGAATAGTGTTATATGTCGTGCGTCATTATATGTTGAATATATCGTGGGAAAATACCTCAAAAACAGAAAATCGGTTTCAGTTATACATCGATACGACCCAATCCATGACTCTACGATTCTAAGACTGCGACCATTGTAGACAGAACCGAGAATCGTTGTAGCGCGGAGGCTTTAAGACTGCCTCAGTCGTAGACGTAGGGCAAGGCACAGCGTCGGTTTTAGCAACGTTGGCGCCCTGAGCGAGTTTATCGTGGCGTCTATTCGAATTCAAGGGCTCAAAATTCTTGCGGGGGAAAAGACAAGGCGATGACATCGAACGACGAACCCCATTTTGTTTTTATATTTTAGGGAATCTGTCTCTCGCTCTCAAACTAGGTGAAGTCAGGCAACGGCGCCCCTACAAACTTGGCACCCTGGGCGATCGCCCGACCGCGCTCCACCCTAACGCCGGTACTGGCAAGGCAGAGAGAAACGTAAGTCGTATACAATAGCCTTTCACGACTTACGTTTCTCTCTGCCTTGCCCTACGTCTACGACCGAGGCAGTCTGAAGGCTGGTTTATGCAAGGCCGTAACCGTTAACTTATGCCGGAATCGGTAAAAATTGTCCAATCACCGTTAAAAGTGAAGAGAATAATTGACTGTAATTAGTTAATTTTTACCGATTCCGACATAAGTTAACGGGTACGGCCTTGCATAAACCAGCCTTTAAGCGCTTACGGATTGTTCTCTGCCATCGGCCTAGATTGGCGACTGCGTCTGCGTTCGCGTTTGCGTCTACGATTGTCTCTGGACCAATCAGAAAGGAGTTGCTGACGATTGCGATTCGCGATTCCCGTTTAACCGGCCGTCTATTTTCAAACGCGAACGCAGACGCAGTCGCCAATCGCTAGTGTGATACGGGCATAACAACGTCTGCGGATTCCCGAAGTCAAGTTGGGGTGACACACGTCACCGGCGGCAGTTAAAAACTTCGTAGCGGCGTTCGTCAAACCGTGGCGCGTTCGCGCCATCGCGCGTATCGCAACCACCTCCCCCTCCTCCCCCCTCCCTCACCGCTAACCAGTCGTCGCCGGTCCGCCCGTACGTACGAAATCGCCGATCAACGACCGTGACATTCAAGTCGCACACAGTCGTCTAATAACAACAAACGTAAACCTAAACGGAAGGGGCGGGCGCCGGGGGCTAAGGAGTTGCGCGCGAGGGTTGACGGGTAAAGAGTACTAGCGGAGCAGCGGCAGGTTCTCGGGCGGTTTCAAACGCGAGTTCACGTTCTTCGCGTCCGCGTGCCGTCGGTCCACGGCCGTCTCGTCGCCGGTGCACTCTCGTCGCGCGGAATCAGCAGCCGCGTCCCCGCGCCCAGGCATGTACCCGGCGATCGCGGAGATGTCGCGCGTCAGGAGCCCGTACGACCGGCCGGCGCCGACCTGCTTCCAGGTCCCCGGCACGAAGCTGAGGAACGTGACCTGCGTCCTCTGCAAGAGCAAGTTTTACGTGCCAGGTAAGACGCCGGGACGTGGCGACGTCGCCGCTATCGATTCGCGCGCCCGGCGCGACGATGAACGCCGGGCACTCTGGAGATTGCGAGTCGCTGCTTGTAAAAACGTCCCGGGCGGGGGGAGGGGGGGAGAGGCTTGCCGTGCGCACGGCGAACGTTCATGCCGATCGCACGGCGTGCCCGCGTGAGCGAGGAACGTGCGCGCTGGAGAGGTTAGAATCCCCCATGTGTCCGTTGTAGCCGGCACTCTCGCGGCGCCCGTGCGTCGCCTCCCTCCGCGTTTACTCCGCGCCCGCGACACGCGGACCCGTCGCACGCGGTTTCGCGACGGGACAATCCGGGGGGGGGGGGGGCTGTCGCGAAATCTTGCCAATTCGTCGAGCTTCACGTTTTCTGTCTCGCTTGCACCCCCGCGTCTCTTTTTATCAAGAGGATACGTGTACAGTTGTTATTTTAGATGTCGAGGCCTGAGAGCGTTCAGTCCCGATAGATATTGAAGTATTTCGACAGCAAATCTCAGAGCGGTGTCTTGCATGCCGTATTGTCCGAATAAAAATACAACTGGCGCAGTCCCCTGCTCTGTTGTCCCTTGCTAGATGTAAGCAGAAAACTGTGCAGCTTGTATGTTACTCGTACGACGAGTTAATTGTATAATAAATTAGCCACTAGCCGAAACGTGGAGAGAACCTTGTCGAAATTGTTGCAGATCTAGCGAATCTCAGCGGGTCGATGCTGAGAGGAACTCAGATACCCTTGTTGTTGGATTGCGGACACCCAATATGTAACAGATGCATAAGCGTGTCCAAGGGCAGAACTAAACAGTGCCCTACGTGCAATAAGACTCTGGAGAATTGCAAGTACCCGCTACCGTTGAATCTATACGCGCTGGGACTGCTCGTCTCGTCCTACCATCGCCCAATGGAGAATGACGACGAACAGTTTCTGTTTCGCCACAAACTGCCCACGCACTTACGTCAGATAGCGCAGCAAGGTTAGAGAATGTAGCCTGTTGGGGTGAGAGCAGCTCATCTCTTTGAGAAGAGGAAAACGAACGTCTATAACATGTGCGTCTTTGGTTGTAGGTTGTTGCCACGAGTGTGGGAAGCGAGCTAATGTAAACTGTCCGCAATGCATGGTCCTCTACTGTTTTGCCTGCTACTCAAAAGTAAGCTGGCATTTCGTGAACCGAGTATCTAACGACCAGACGAATTACACTTGTGATATCTCACGACTTCGGTTCCACCTTGCTTTCAGATCCATGGAAGGGCGTTGCAGAGTCACACACAGATCCCGATATACGACGGAGGGCCCCACACTCCTGCTGCGATCTTGAACAGTTGTTCTCCGACTTGCACTGAAGCATTGGGCTATTTTTGTAACGACTGTAGCGTGGCCTGTTGCTCAAATTGCACTCTGATCTCGCACAAACTGCACCGTTTCGTGGCGTTGTCGGAGAAGGTTAGTGACGTTGTTCGAATTGTACAAAAAGTTTTATTACGCATTGTTGCGAGAAGCTTAAACGACTTGTGCTCTATTGGCAGAACGAGAGCCTGCTGCCCGAGTTCAACGAAACGTTCAGGCGCATCGAGGATACGCTGCTGCGAGTTTGCCAGACGAAAGAGGTGAGTCTGCATGTTCAGTAAATATTTCTCCTGGCGAGGCGCTCGCTCGACTGTTACGTAGACGCCAGGAAGTGATAAATAAATAAATTTCTTTATTAATACTTTTAACAAGATATTAGGTACGCGTAGAAAGATTGACGTATGGTCATTTGGCGATATCGTTCAACGCGAATGGTGTCGCTCGTTCTTTTAACGTTAATTTCTTTTTTAAACCATTTCTGATAAATTATAAATAAGTTCTAGTCATATTCACGCCGATACATAATAGAAGCGCATATTTTAAATATAAACGAGCTATATATAAATTCGGGAACCATATTTTATATATCGATTGGGGTAAAATAGTTATAGATAGATGGCGAAACCTAGGCGATTTTTCTACGAGTGGGATATTCGCGGTGGAAATATTTTCATTACATTTTCAACGCGAAACGGTACTTCTATAAATGTTACTATTTGCTATTGAGACGTACAAATTTGGTACGATTCAGCACAGTTGTAGGAATTTTACGTTGAATTGATATCGAATATTAATAATATCGTATCTCTCGTAAATGACTTTCGACCAATTATTAAATTTTGGTTTACAAGTATAACCAGTGTATCGGAGAGAGAGAGAGAGAGCGTTAATTAGTGTTGTTTACGCTATTTGGAAAATGATCTGCTTGGAAAATTACGACTTGTTACGATGGAAATCTATGACTCAATTGGACCATTCTGGTGTAGACCGAGAGAGAAATGAAGCTCCGCGTAAGGCGGGCGGGCGCTTTCCGTGATAAATAGTACACAATAGTATACGCATATGACTAGAGGGGATATAAGAGAAATACTTAATATCATCAGCCATTTCATACCCGTACAAAGACCGTGAGATAATCTAGCTTATTTTACGCGCGATGTGATTTGCTCTATGCTCAAATCACACGTAACTCTATCATATTGCACTTTTTCGGGATTGCAAGGCTCGTCGCCGCAGAGTCGCGGCCCTACAACCCGCGACGTATTTTTTCCTTTTCATTTACAATGGCAACGAGTCAGATATTACATAGTTAAGACTAAGTTACTTGGCGCACGACACTCGAATTACGAGTCCACGTCGTCGTTGGTGCCGTCGTCGTCGTTGTCGTCGTCGTTCGCCGTTTGCGACTTGCCCTTTTGCTTGCCCTTCTCCTCCTGCTGTTTCTTCTTCTCCTGCAGCTTCTTTTCCTTCATCTTCGCCTCCATCTCCTTGAACTTCTGCTCCAAGTATCGATCTACCTCCGGGCCGGTGAAGTCTTCGGGGAATTTGGGCATAATTGGCAGGATGTATTTATACAGTCGTTCGTTTAGCACGTACAGCTGCGTCGTCGTCTCGCACTTTACGTTGAACCACCAGTCGCAGGTCAATGCTATCTGGCTGAATATCGTGCCGTTCGGACACAAGAACGACGACTTGCCGCCATTCAGGTCGCAGTAATGCCACACCTAAGAACAATATCGTTATCAAGTGATTCTAGAAGTCAGCGTATCGAATCGCGAATGTTAAATCTACGAGAATTATAACGCGCTCACCTGGCATCCGGTCGCCGGGTCGCCGAAGAACCCTTTGTATCTCTGATCCTTGCAACTGAATTTGGTTTCCGGTATAGTCGCGTAGGCCGGGTAATCGACGTTGGGCTTTCCGCGCGTCGCGCCGTACTTGAGCGCCGGCAGCGGCATTTTCGGCCCCGGGCGCGTAACTTCGTTCGGCGCCACGTACTCCTGACTCGTGGACGCCTCGGTGGAGATGGGCAGGGTGTACCGTTCGTCCTGCAGGACGTCGTCGCTCAGGTCCTCCGTGATCTCGTACGAGTGCTCGTACGGAACGGTGGTGGGAGCGCTAGGCGTGGAGCTCGGCTTGGGGCCTTGTCGCTTAGGCTCGTCCGAGATGTCCTGAACGTAGGGGATGTAGTATTCCACCTTGTCGTCCTTGACGTGGTTCAAGCTGTAGTCCGGCTGCAGCGACGGTTTAATTTGCACATTCTCGTCCGTCGTCTTGTATCGCTCGGGATCCTCGGTGATGACCAGAGGGCTCGGTGTCACTTGAAATCTCGTCTCGGTGATCACCTTCGGCCGCGTGTATATTTTCGGCTTGTAAACGTCGTAGCCGATCACTCTGGGCGCCGAGGGCGAGGGCGGGGGCGGCGGGGGCGGCGGTAACGGGGGTCCCTGCGGCTGCGGAAAATTTTCCTGCCGCGTATTATGCAGAATATTAAGTATCTCCACGAGCGTTTTGATGCTGCTGTCGATGTTGTCTTTGTTGAGCGTTTCCGGCAGTCGCTCGGACAGCTGGAAACTCTCAATCAGATTGTTGAGATTCACGCTCGGCTTGCGATAAAGGGAGACGACCGACGGCTTTGCTGGCGGCTGCTGCTGCTGCTGCTGTTGCAGCACGCTCGCGTGCACCGGCAACGGGATGTATCTCAGCCCCTCGAATTCCTTATTGGGGTAATTAACGACGGTGTTCGGCCTCGCCGTGTAATCCTGATCGTAATCGTCCTGCGGGTTGCCGAGCAGCGGTTTCTTGACCACGGCAGCGGAGGGTTGCAGGGGTCGCGCGGTGATGAAGTATCGATTTTCCTTGTTGAGGATATGACTGGCAGGCGTGGTAATTTGGGGGTAGGTCTTCTGCACCCGATAGAGCTCGTAGGCCGGGGTGGAGTACTCGGCGTAGTTGACCTTGGCGTTGTACTTGACCGGCGCGAAGTAATCGTTATCGCCCCCGATGTTTCTGGGATCGAATTGCACGGACGGGATGAATTTCTGGTCTTGGTCGGGCGAACCGACGCGGTACTTGTTACCGCCCCGCCTCGGCACGCTAACGAGCCGAATCAGAGGCTGCTGCTGCTGCTGCTGGGACGGAGGTCTTCGAAGCTGGGTGCCGCCCGACAGCTCGTCCGCATAATTCTGCGCCAACGCGGCCTGAGCGTTCAGGTAATTGTTGGCGACGTAGAACGTCATGTAGGGTATCAATCTTCGGTATCTCTCCTTGAACGTCGTGAGGTTCATGTTCGCCAGCAAGTCGTCCCCGCCGTCCACCGGAACGACGCTGGTCGCGTTCGACGTGGCCGGCTCCGTCGCTGCGAGGCCTCGCATCAAGAGAACTGCAACCGAGAAGAGAGTCGTTCGTTACATTGATTTTCGGGCGGATTTAACAGCGCGATTAATGAAATTAATCATTTCATGTACACGGAAAGGCCGGCTAAGGCAAAAATAACTAAAATTAAAATTAGTTTCTTCAAATTGCCAGTTTAATACTAAAAATCCAAATTTTATTCCACCACAGCTGGACCACATTTGTCAATTTATCTGTCAATGCAGAACATTTATTGCGAAAAATATTACCTCAGCCAGGGTTAAAGTCGGAAAATAGACGCGTAGATAACATCTTTATATTGTTATTGCGACAAATATTATCATACGCCTCGGTGGTCGAATTGCTGAGACGCCCGGGCAATATTTTTCGCAATAAATTGGCTGCATTGACTGTGGTCTAATAAAATTTGGAATTTTAAAATGAAAATGTTGCCATGTAAATAGTAGGTGCATCTATAGTGTTTTGCGTTGCAACCTTCACTAAGGGCCAGTTTCATAAACGTCGGTTAACTCCTGACCGAAGGTTAATTGATACTCCGTATCTTTTTAGAGAACAAGATAGAAAACGATAGGGAGTTGACTGAACTCTGGTTAACAGTTAACCGACGTTTGTGAAATTGGCTCTAAGTTTGCTGCACAAAACGCATATAGTTGTCTTCACTACTTATTGTACCTATGTGGGGTATGACAAGCACAGATACAGCCGTCCCAAATATTACTATTTATCGGGGTTGCGCCAACCCTAATTAGACACGTGGTAACCGTATCGGTCCCTCCGTGTACCGTTCTCGTGCTATATTTTCGCGTTACTTTAATGCGAAAATAATGTAGCTTTCGCGTGGCGTAATCAAATTAGCCCCCGGAAATTTAAAATTCGAATCGAACTCGCGGAACCGCGCGAGACAACGGCGTTGTCTCGTTGCGTTTTTCGATGCGTCGTCACGATTGCGCGAACGACCGCGTGCGGAAGAACGCGAAAAGAGAATGGGAGATAACGCGGTATGTCTGAAACGTCCCGACAAAGACGAATCGTGGGGGAAAGGGAATACGGTCGAGGGTTGAAGATTGAGCGGACGATAGAGCCTGGAGGGAAGGAGGGGGGGGAGGGGCATTGGTACGTTTTTAGCGGTTGCGCCACTCGAACGTGCCAGCGCGAATATATCCTCTGCCGCGGGAGCAGCGATACACGCACGCGTGCACCACGCGCGTCTACATACGCGGCTTTTATCTCTTGCCATCTCGCCGCACGTACAAAAGCGCCTGGCCGGCTCTCTCCGAATATTTTCCTTCTAATTTAATTTCACGCGGGTGGAGCGCGTGCGTTACCTCGCGCGTTTCCGAGGACGGGGGGGGGGAGATATAGGGGGTGTATCGCACATGCGGCTATAACGATGCACGGTGGCTTTTTCGAGGAGTCGATTAGAGGTGTACGTATTTTTCGTGGGACACCGCGCGGCTCGTCACAAAAAGCTCTTTTTTTCCCCTGCCCCTTGAAGCTCTCTCTCTCTCTCTGTTACACACGCGCCTTCCTGCGGACAGCTTGTTTTCGGCAACCACTGAAAATGTCCCGGCAAAACCGTAAAGCCTATCACACAATAGGTAAGCACAGGCAATAGGAATGAGGAATAGAAATACGGAATAGAGACCTATGTAATGCCAAGACACGATGATTCGTTGGCAATAGGAGTTGCTGTCCAATCATCTGCTTTTTGAAACTACGTGCCTGGCCCAGTCTCAACTGCGATTGGTCAGGTAGGTCAGGTACAAGGAATAGGGAACAGAAATTCAACCCGTCGGAAGTTCTGTTTCTATTGCCTATTCCATGTTCCATTGTGCGTTGATACACGGTTTCTGGTAAGTTGGAATTTAGTTATTTCTGTTGCCCGTGTTCCCTATTCCTATCGCTTGTGCTTTCGTACTTTTTTTTTTCTACGATTTGTACGCGCGCACGAAATCGTTTATGAAAATATTTTAAATACGTGTATATCGAGGTTAACAATGGGACTCTGTTTATTCACCGTACAGTGCCGCGCATTCTCCTGCGGGAGCAATTGGTCTATGCCGCGTCACTACCTTATTCAGCGCGCTACGCACATGTGTACACGCGCGCGTACGCACACATATTGTTTCTATCTGAATAATTTCGTCATGTATCATTTAACTCTTTACCGGTACGTTTCATGACAACGGTACGATTACGTTGAACAATATATATACATATATATATATTTTTATTACGCGCGTCTACATCGTGAAATGTTACATGTTTTGACGCGGCTAAAATGCTGCATGAAATTAAAGCCGGAAAAATTGTTCGATCTTTTCGAGAAACGTCAAGTTTGAAAACATGGAACGAGTCATGAATTTTTACATAACTCTTCTCGACTCTGCCTTTCCCCATTTATCCCCGGTAGAAATTCTATCCCACGGAATATTCTACACGAATATATACGCTCGCTCTCTTTTAATTCGCGAGCTCTCGTCATATCGCCCGGCCGGCGATATTGCGGCGCGAGAGATGCGAAGGGAATAGGGGGATGACGCGAAATAGTGGAGGGAAAACCGTGTGGTCCGAGTGGTGCCAGATATAAACCCGCCTCACTAGTCTCGTCATGAATTTTTATAAACCGATTATTTAGCGTCGATGTAACAAAGTGCAGCGCGCTCGCTGAAAGAGAGCGCCGCGGCGCTCCGAGCCGGCGGCGCACATCAAAGGGCCCAGCCGCATATTCCTCCCCCCCTCCTCCCGGTCCTCCGTCTATCACCGTCTCTGTCGCTCCCACCCTCTCGTGGATTACACACAGTTATACACACCGGCCCCGACCTGGAAATCCAATTCGATTCTGCATGAAATGAGTCTGGAAACTCTGCTCGCGCTGCGGCGCGGCGCGGCGCGGCGGTGGAGCATGGCTCGGCGCGCTTTATTAATCCTGTCAGTGCGAAACGCGATTGAAAAATTGGCGAGGCACGCGTGCCCGATCTAAGGGGAGCTCGTCTTGAAAATTTTCAAAGCGCAAATGCGACGTCGGTCGCGAATTGCGTTTTCTACGTCTGCCGCGCGAGGCGACGACAGGGACGCGGAGACGTTGGATCTCTCGCGCAAATCCACCTCGAGATGTTTAAGTCCGGAGTCTAAGGAAATCTCGTCTCTGCTCCGGGGGGGAAAAAAAAGACAGCAACCCATTTTGGGGCCTACAATTAGTAATCGAATTATTTTGATTGTTCGTAACTCTATTCTGGGAAAAATGTTGACCGTTTTTTTGTAGTTAAGCAACTTAACATTTTGGTTGGTGCCTCTTAAGTGAAAATCATCTTTGCGTTACTGAATATCGACGGAACTAATCGAGAGAATTGGTTAGTATTACTTAAAAATCTTGGATATAGATGGAATAGCTAATTGCGATTTGTAGTTACGCGGGGTAAAATTCGTAAAAGATTAGAGTTACGAACAATCGAAACTCTTCGATTACTGTGGGTTCCAAAATGGGTTGCTGTATTTTTTTCGCCAGAGTGTGTTCCGTCAAACGAGTCAACCGCGGCCGAGGGAGTCTTGGGATGCTTAGCTCGCGAGAAGAGAATTATTGTCGGAAACCCGCGTGAATCGGCGAAATTAAATCGCGCGTGATACGTAACTAAAATATGACAACGCAGCCGAGTTCATTACAGGGTAGATCCTTGTCTCGCGACGAGGGAATCGAACAACGGGAAAACCTCTCGCACTTTTACCGTCCGCCGCAACGAAAAACAATTATTCTTCGAATTGGATCCCAGCCAGACGGAAGCGATGCGGCTGCTTTCTTCCTCCCGAGTCATCGCCGATAGTTTCCCCGCGCCTCGGATCCTCCTTTCTCCCTTTGTCCCCACGACAACGTTTCCTCGAAACCGGCGAAATTCTAACTCGAGCTCCGTGTTGCGCAACGCCCATTGTATCGTGCGAAAGTACGGCGCGTCGGATCTCGTACTACCGATCTGTCGGCGGGTAGCCCGATACGGAATATTAATTGGCATGTATTGGTCCCTCGGATTACGTTATTTCGAACGCGCGTGACTTGGATGCACCCGACGGCTGCTCGACGAGAGGGAGAGAACCCGCGAAACGCAGACGCGGCTGGAATACGCAGGCCGGTTAAGCCTTTCGCTATTCGAACACCGGGACGAGACGGCCGAGTGTCATGTAGAAAAGCACTAGAATTTTTAATTACGCGAGAATCCACGTTCTCCCTCCTCCATGCTTCCGAACGCGCGATATTTAATTAATTTTCGACGAATTGCATCTGCAAACTTCGACGCGGTGGGAAACGTACGGGCGATGCAGTTTTCGGCGGTAATGAACACGCGTGTCCTTGCTCGTCGCTCTTGCTCGGGTACGCTCGCGACACTCGTAATGCGGAACGCTGCGTTCAGCAAAAACTAACAGCTACGAATAATTAATACCGACGGGTGTCGCCCGGGCGGGGGAGTCGTCGCAGCTCCCAATCGTGCGTGGCTGAAATTACTGCGACCGTCACTTTATTTATGGCACGCACGCGAGACGAAGGGCCCGTCGCGCCGAGGGGTGGCAATATGCGCGAGAAAATAAAGCCATTTTTCATCCTTGGAAATTCTTAATGAGTGAAATATCGCGGCCCGCACTCGACACCGGGGAAACATTGCGCAAAAGTCACGGAATCGAGACGCACAGTTTCCAAGTTTCCGACGATATCGACGAATCTCTCAGTCTGCGATTTATTAGACTAATAATTGAAGCGATTTTTATGCACACGGAAAGAGGTGGATAGTATGCGCGAACGAATGTTAGTCATGGAAAAAACGCTTTAATTTTATAAACCATCTTATTTATTCTTCGAGTCCTTCACGCAAGTTTAGTCGTGTAAGTTGTATATGGAATACCTTGCCCATCGCAATTTTCATAAATTCCTTTCGTACACGGAAAAAAATGATGTTGCATCAACAAGATCAAGTGTAATTGAAATAAAATCGTTGAAACAACATCAGTATTAACGAATGCAAAACAAGAGATAGGTGTCTTAATAATCTGGATATTT